GATGAGGGAATGTCCTACACCCAGGTTTCTGCAGGATGGTATCATACGGTGCTTCTCCCGAAATGATGGCAGCGCTGTGGCTTGCGGACACAATTTTGCTTTCTGCAGGAGGTCATCATAAAGTGCTTCTCCGAAGTGATGGTAGTGCAATCGCTTGCGGAAGGAATGTTTACAACCAATGCGACATTCCACCTTTGAATGATGAGGGCATAGCCTACACCCAAGTTTCTGCAGGCGAGCTTCAAACAGCGCTTCTTCGAAGTGATGGCAGTGCTGTTGCTTGTGGACGGAATGATGATCATGGAGTTTGTCATGGACGATGCAACATGCCACCTTTGGATGGGGGAATCTCATATGTTCAGGTTGCTGCAGGAGAGCGTTGCACCGTGCTTCTCCGAAGTGATGGTGGGTGCTGTTGCTTGCGGAAGGAACACGCATGGGCAGTGCAACATTCCATCTAAAGACTTGGCGTGAGTACTTGTCTTTTGCAACCTCGCTATGTTTGTGAATTACACGCCACTTGCTAAAGACGATGTTTTGCAACTGAGTGCTGTTTTCGAAGATGCTGCAAGCCGTGCTGACATGCTGGGACTTGGCTGGGCATGAGGCCTTGCGCTTCAGGGCTGGTGTGTCTGACCTGGTCTTGGATACGCATTCTGCCCATTGCGCGTGACCTTAAGCGTAACCTCCAAAGTCTTCGAGTGGTCTTGCCCGATGGACAGTTGTTGGCCTCGATTTGCAGTGCCAACCCATTGGCCATGCTAGTGGATGTGAACGGGGCCATAGCCCAGGACCAGCAGATCATCAGCTCGTGCAGAACAAGCCCGCGTTCCCCTCCCAAAGATGGGAAGCCTTCCAGTTTATCGAAGCGTTCATGGTCTAAACTTAGCCGCCTATAGCCCATACTGTACTTAGTCCTCGAACCTTTTTTAGGATGAACTCTATAATACTAAGTCCTCTACTTCTGATGTCTTCATCCTCCAAATGTCCTCAACCACCATACTCCGTGCGCCTACGGAGTCCCCACATAAGTGCCCCACGGGAGCCCACCCGGCTTCCCGCTTCTAAAATCCACGCGGGATCGGATCAGATCGGAAAGCCCGAGGACATTTGGGACGCGTGGACCTTCTTCAAACTTCTGGACACCGATGGTGGTGGAATGGTGGAGGCCAGAACCTCAACGTTTCATTTTTTTGTGGAGGGGGAGAAGGAGGCAGGGGACGTGATTGAGGAGAATCGTTCCTGATGTTCCCTGATCGGAATATTTTTTGGGGGAGGTGGGACACATTTGGGTGTTTTGAGTATAAAAAGTGTCAAGATCTAGGAATCTAGGATCAAGCAATGAGAGGTTGGAACAACCTCTCCAGCTCCTGTTCCTGTTGACCTCTTCTCTTCTTCAAAAAACTTTGCCCATCTCTCTCTCTCTCTCTCGACAATCGAGTTCTTTTCAGGTGCCTTTTTTTTGTGGGGACAGGAACTCAATGACCACCAGATTCGCGTCCCAGATTCTTCAAGAAACATCTTGATTGTTTGGGCGTTTCGAAGGACCATGATGTGTTTCAGGTGAGTGTGTGAACACGTGTTTTCGGTTGAAACGAAGATGTTTCGAGACCTCGAAAGAAACCCGCAACCCGCAACCACTTCTCTTTGAGATTTGGGATTTGATGGTGCAGTTTCTTTTTGCGTCGCCAGAATGCCAGGGTCCGGGTCACCTTGACACCGTTTTTGGAACCCAACGACTGCTTAAGGTGTTTTAGCCCATCGTTCCCTTTCGACTCCTGCAGCCGTTTTCCCAAAGATGGAGTCGACATGTTTCGACATGTTTCGACCAACGA